CGTATGCCATCAATACGACGAGAAGAATCAGTGGACCATATGGTTGATAGGTACAGTACATTAGAGGAGGAAGGATAAAATGATAATTTTTCACTAAGATATTATTATTTAAGTAAGTATGTACAGTATAACTAGTCAGGTGCTTGCCTTTGGCACTGCCAATGCCTTTGTAGTAAGCCTGCATAGGAACATTTTGTACTATATCAATCTCACAATTTGACACTTAAGTCTTTAATTTCATGAAAAAATAATTAGAAATATTTAAAAAACAACATACCTACAATATAATAGTAATCTCCCATTTGTGTGACGATTTTGCTCTGAATAAGGAGAAAGATAAAAAGATAATTGTTATAATTAGTTCATGTAAAAAGAATATTTTTTTATGTATTCGTGATAAAAAGCGGTAACATTTTATTGATATGGTGCATATAGTTACAAAAATTCATTAAAAAAAAACTTTATAATTTAGTTAAAGTATAGGCTACTAAATATACAATAAAGAAATAACATATATTTTTCACAGTTTGTAATAAAAAAATTAAGCTTGACATAATCGTAAATCCGGTGAAACGCAAATAAGTTGATAGAGAAAACAGTAAAAAATATAGCACCTATTGCAATTGTTTGATTTTTCTTTTTACTTTAGACTTACTTACGACGTAGTAAAATAAACAATAAATATAATATAATATTTCTGGTAATTTTTGCTATAATTCACTTCAAAATTGACAACAAAAAAGGCAGTAAGTATCAGTGGTGACACGTGAAAATTGTCGTTAGTAAAGCCGGAGCAAAACAAAAAACACCTACCTTAACAAAAAGTGGCGCCTTGGTGACACTTAAACGCGACTTTTATTAGCACATTAGATACTAGTACACTTCATTTCACTAGTTAAGTTATTCTACACACAAATACTCGAATAATAATATAGTGAATTAGTTGAAATATTTATAATATTTGATAATGCGTGGAAAACTTTAGGCAAGCCGGTGAGCAACGAGTTACATGGACGCCTCGCCACTGGCAGGTATAGTAGTATGTCTTCATTTACAATATCTGTAATAAATTGGAAGATCAATGTTTTGTATATTTCGTACCATTTTTTTAAACGTAACAAAATGTGACTCCAACAAGTAAAATGCCAATTCTGTAAAAAAGTTTACATGTAAAAAAGACTTTGCTTTGCCATTTACAAATTAGTTTACCTCTAGTCTTCGATTTAACCACGTGCAAGAGGATCGGGAGCTGGTAAGCCGTTTTAGATGAAAATTCCGAATTTAATTTAGATGCACCACGTTACTTCATGGTTGCTTCGGCGTTGAATCATCGCTTCACTTATTCAATTTTACGGTAGATGAAAAAGACGAACTCTTTCATGACCCCGGGGGGTAAGTCCGATAATGTGTGCCGTAATGCTAACACAACGTACACGTTTGGACAAGTTCCCGCGAAACATCACATCAAAACATTTTATTTATTATTATTATTATTACTATTTTTAGCTAAGAACGCAGCAAACAAAAGCAAATTTTTTTTTTCCCTCATCTCGTTCACAGCTAAGTAGGAACCCCAACACCTAGTTAAGTAGCCTACTTAACTAAGTAAGTAAGATTCCTACACAACAAAATAAATGAATATACATGACTGAAGCAAGAACGGCTAATAAACAGTGCCATAGGTAAATAGGCAGTTTGGTAACGTATGTATACTTCCTAAATATTGCACTTATAGGTACACTGCCTCTACCATTTCACATATTATTTACAATTCAGTGAATAAACACCGTGATGGAATCTTGACACTTGAGAAGGACTTCGTTTATATTGGCCCAACCAATCTCTATTCTTATTAAATTCAGCGAACAAAGAACGCTTTTTGTTGTCTGCTCGTATAGAAATAGACAAGTAGATCTCTTTGTGCGCGAAAATGTTTTCCACGCAAACATTACTTATATTCCCCATCGCTTTTGTTCCGTCAAATTTCTTATGACAGCCTGAACATAAAATCATACTGTCAGATTTAAATTGTTTCAGTCAGATTAGCTATGCATAAAAATGTCACCATGATGATTACGGAGCGGGATAGCTAACATTGAACATAGTTGAATGAAAAATTATAGCAGGGATGTTTGCCCAGACATTGCGATATGTCGTATCATGTCATCGTTATATTTTTTATGATACTAAGAGACGGGACGTGAAGTCGTGCGCCTCATATTAGCGACACGCCTGTACCCCCATAACGGGTGTACTACGTGAGTGCGAATTGTGGGAGTGGAAGAACTAGAAGGTCGGAATGGAAAGCTAGGGAGAGGTAAGAAGGTGTGAACTCAAATAATGGAGAAATGGAGAATGATAACGTATAACAATAAGTTTATATATCAAAACGAACCTAAGAGTGTTGTTTAGTAGAGTGTGTGACACGCTTTTTTGGTAGGCCTCGTCAATTCAAAACAAAAACAAAATCTCTCTTCTCTCCTTGGTATTTTTCACCATTCATGTATAAAATGTTATTTTGACATTATAGTTTAGAAATAATTAGTAAATTATTTAAAACCCAATGATGTTGGTGTAATCTATATATTTAAACCATTCACATATTTGTTGCTTGTTGGTGAGCGATTTTTCTATAAAATCAATACCGTTTTTCTATAAAAGGTACCCACTTTTTGGTTTGACTTTTTTTCAGGCCACCAATACTGGCTAATTTTTCGTAATGGTAATGTAGATTACTAGGGCTGCGGCCCAAAATATTCGATTTTACTTTTGTAGTCGAGCTTTCTGTAAATTACAAGCTTTTCTTTATCATTTCCAAGTCAAACGCCGACAATTAGTTTGCCAAGTACTTTCTATAAAGTATATGTACGTAAACCTGGAATCGCCCTGTATTCTAGCGGGTTTAGGTGATAAGTCTTAGTAGCTTCATCAGAATGAATCGGTAGATTGTCTGTGGCGTTGCTCGTTGGAAACATCTTTTAGGAGGAATTCAAAAACTCTTAGTGCAGTGTATTAGCTCTAAGGGTACTTAAGGTAAACCGTTTATATGTGTAACTAGTAAAAACTAAAAGTATATCTTGTAACCTCGGGAAATTAAAATCTTAATACTTTGTAATGTAACATTATGTTAATCGTAACGTACATACTTTTTATAGCTTTAAACTAAAATAAAGCATCTGATTATTTCTACTTGAAACTTGTTTTAGTTGTGTGTAAGGCGCCCCTCTTTCTCCTTGCTTATAAATTTTACACGCAGCATCGGGTCAACCAGAGCTCACGCTCCAAGTCTCATGCTCACTCAAACCGACTGGAGCTACTTAAAAAAAATAAAAATATTAAATACGAAAATATTAATTAAATATAAAAAATAAAAATTAAAGTGTAACTACCCTGTCTGATGGATGCCGCAGTGGGATAGTTGCTTTGTTTTCAAAAAATCTAACTTCCCCAAACCCCCAAAAAATAATTAGTTTAGATAAGGAGTATAGACACCACTTATCAAAGTCCCTGCAGGGCTTCGTGTGGAATATACGCGTTTAGTTTGTGCATGCGTTTATCTCCGCGACAAACACAACAAACGGTTCAAAATTTCAGACGCAAGTATTTACTGTCGCAAAACTTTGTAAGTTATAATAAATTCCGTTTTATTTTTATTATGACTATTCACTGGTTCATTAATTGCGCACCTAGGTGTCAATAATCGCTCTTTTGTATATAGCTTAGATTAATTATAAAAGGGCATCTATCCATATCGAATAGGATAGTCGCCTCGATTTTTCGCGGTATAGGTATAAAGTTAAAGTTTTAGGGGCAAAGGACAAGACAAGAAAGTTAGGAAAGGAAAATAAAAAAAATACATTTTAGTGAAAATGACAAGTAAATGATAATCGGCATTCGCACATAGTACACCCGTCCATAACAGTTTCAGTGTCAGTCAGAGCTTTAAATCGCAAAGATCGGAGGGGTACTACCACTGCGCCCGTCACCCAGAGACGGAAGTTGACAAGGACCTCTAGTTATGTTAATAGCTTGTTGCAATAATAGTCAACATTACAAAAAAGAGCTCAAATTGTTCTGCTCCTTCTTAATGGTGCTGTATTACGATGAGCGCCTAAATCCTAATTATATTTGCTTTGTTATAAAGAAATTGAACCTAAAACCCCAATTAAAAGTTCGAATCCGTCGAAATTTAGATGTCGCATTCACTGACTTTTGAAATTTGTCCCATTACATACGAATATATATTAACATTTAAAAAACACGAATACGAACAAATATATTAACATTTAGAATTACGATGAACTTATAAGGTAAAATGATCGAAAATCTCAGCTTTTTCAAAGAAGAGATACGCGAGATACGCCGTAACTATTACCAGTATTACCATTTATAAGTTGTGGTACAGATCTTCTATTTCTTTAGGTTTAAGTGATCTGGTAATAATAGTCCCATATAGAGTCCCACGTTGCAAATGTTTCCTGTTTCATCAAGCAATTAGTATTGTATGGAAGTTTATTTTATCAGTTACCTTACTCCATACGAGGGCAAAGTTATTTGTTACAAACAATATTTCGAAATACTCCGTGAACTTTTGCTGTTCAACGATCTAAGAGCCCACCTGCATAACCAGTAACTATTTCCAGTACAACCAATGTTTGAAAACGGATAGTTCTACTTTAGTTTAGGCAGCGGATCGGGCCATAAGCCCTAATAGTTTATATGGTTACGTTACTTACATTACAATACCTATTATGTCCTATTTGATCAAGCAATTAGTGACATTGTAAGAAGAAATATTTAAAAAAGTTAGTAAATTTTTCTCTCCAGAATGAAACTTTAATCGGATAATAGCCATTGCCGACTTCGCCCGCTGCTCGTAGGGACTTTGCGATAATTGTATATCCTGCTCAATTAATGACTTTATATCCGGCAGCTTATGTAATAAATTTCCTCTCGAAAAGATTTATGGCTTTTTCGTGTAGCGTGGAAACAGCACTTACTCGGACTCGACGCATAGCAGCGACAATCTCAACGCGACTGGTGGGTCTAGGAACGTCCATCGTACCGATGTACTGAAACAATGAAACAACACAATTTAGTTAGTAAATAAAGACTGATTTCATTCAATTTTCACTAGAACATGTACAGCATACATATCCAACATTCGACTCGTGTAAATAAAGTGGTCGATAGAGCCGTTAAATGTTGTTTGTTTTGTGTACATATATGTATACATTACAGATTAAATAGGGCCTACGTGCGAACGGTACGATGAAGGTGTAAGATAAAATCAGGTACTCTAGCATGAATGAGAGAATCATGTAGATTGACAAACGAACGGACTACAACAAACCTTTCAAGAATTAACAAATTGGTTTCCTATTTCCATATTCCATGATCAAGTATTGATGTAATTAGTCACTTTACAAGTGAAAGTGCTTGCTTATTGTACTAAATAAAAATAGTTCAAATCGCTTCATAGTGCATCGCTATGATGTGGAATTATTAATAGCCCTAAAAACATTAAAAAGTAAAAACATATACTTCCGAATAAGAAATTTCTATTCTTTCGGTCAATTAAAAAGACCATTTGCCTTAAAAGCGTGATATTTTGCATTTTCGTCTATAATTAAAGTAGCTTGGCTGCTCCAAGATAAAGCTTTGTGGACCCTGTTTCGTTGATCAAAATACTTTGATAGACTATTCCCATAAAACAAAGGGAACTCTACCGGTTTTCGATAGTTAATCGACACAAAAATAAGACTATAACAAATAAGAAATACTTGTTATAAAGGTGTCCTGTGATTATTCTAATGCATCTAGACAATAAGTTACAGGTCTTTACGAAGTTTATGACGGGAATCAAACCACTTTATCTTATTAGGTAAGTAAATTACGTAATAGCTAATTTGATAATAATGACAAACAAGAATATCGTAACGACTCGGTCCATTGCTGTGATTGAGATCACAATGAGATGAGTACACAATAAAACACAATTTCGAATCCAATATCTGGAGAGTCACGTCCCCGCCACTAACGTTTGTAATTGCGAAATAAACACAAAGAAATATCTAATTCGTGGCTGCCATTCTCAAGAAAAAACACGTTCTTTTTACTTTTTTTCTCTACACTCTTTTCTTTTGTAAATTTTATTCATCCAAGTTCAATTTGTAACAAAATCATAAGACGGGGACACGGATAATTATTCTTTTCCTTATAATGGGGATATTACTTTAGCTTTGTTTGAACAGGCTTTGGAATACTGTTTCGCCATCGAAATATCCGTTTGCCTACAATAACAATTTAAAAACATTTTCTGTGTTGATGTTTGTGTGAAAGTGATAATTTTGTTATTAATTGTGTAAGTTTTTTTTAATCTTATCTTGAAACTTTTTGTAGTTACCTATATAAGTGAGTGACTATTACAAAATATCTGTACAATACTTCGGAAAATCAACGATTTCCGATAAGTTCCTGCAAAATTGAGTAAAGAAACGGATCTCGACGTTTTTATTGCTCTTTGGTATGCAACAGGCGTTCAACCGAAGTTCACGTTTTTTCCCTCCGCTGCCGCATTATTTACTAGGCAACAGCTTATCAACAACATTACAGCACAAACACATTTTGGTATAAATTTTTCTCGGGCATTATTAGAGAAGCGCTTTGTCCATTTACGGGAAATGAAATGAACAAATTCATTCAATCATAAACTACGCAATAATGGATTTGATAAAATACAAATCACTTTGGCTACAATCTATTCTCAAAGATGGATACAAATACCTACCTATTTACGTGATTGAACTGAGAATTCAATAAGCCAAAATATGTTACATCAAAGAGAAAAAAGAAGATATTCGGAGAACATTCTATTATTGTAAGCTTTGCAAAGGAAATCCAATATTTAAATATACATTAAAATTACATTAAATCATTCTATACATCAAAATCTAAAGCGCAGTCTAGTCAAAATTTACAACAACTTAATTATTGAATAACACGGTGTTTTACTACCATGTTTTTTTTGTAAATTACTCCACTACTTTGTTATAATTATTAATATAAAGATTTCGATCTTACTTAGTCACTAAGAAATTTAATAAAAAAACTTAGTGATTATGTCAGTTATTGAAAATAACAACATAAAACTTATGTGTAAAAGTGTGTTCGGCAATTCGTCAATAGTGTTTCCGTTTCATTAGACACACTCAAATGAAATAAAAAACCAAATGATTTTGCCCGACAACGTGAAGGTATGTGAAAATTGCCAAAAGAAAATAGATTTTTTTTTTCCTTTTAATACTGCATCCTGAAAGCAATTCCGGGCGATTTCCGCCGAAAGAAAGCTTCGGCTGTGTAACGAATGTAACGTCGATTTGACTCCCTGAAACTCACGTTTCCACCCTTTCTAATAAAATTGTCTTATGTTCCCAGAATTCTGATTGATATTCAATCTGTGAAGTTGCGCATTATGAATACGATTGTGACGCGAGATTGAAGCCCCTTGAACTTGTTTAAGTCTATATAGAGACAATATTTTTAATGACGACGATTGTTCAAGCTACCCGCTACGTTTATCAATTTTTCATATGCCTTAATTAATTAATTATATTGAAATTGAATACAGTATATAAAAATTAGAAGCGATGGATTTATCGACAATTTGATGAAAAACATCAATGGTACATAAACTTTATGAACATGGATAGTAACATCGTTTACCGTAAAATGAAATATTAGGACATGATAGTAAGGGATACCCCGTTTCGCTATGGATCTCATAAAAACAACTGCGGTAACAGTGCGATGCGACTAAACACATTCGTCCTCACTCTTTACATATCGTGAGTTTATTTAGAGTCAAGTCTCAGTCTAAATACTTGGTCTGGTGCACTACAATTTTTTTTTTATAATATAAAGTGACGGGACGAACAAGTCGTGCGCTTGATGGTAAGCTAGACGTCTGTCCATAACAGTTGCAGTGCCACTCACACAAAGCTCTGAGCTTTAATTCGCAAAAATCTGAGGGGCACTGCCACTGAGCCCGTCACCCTGAGACATAAGTTTATAAGTCCGATGTGCCTGTAATTTCACGGGCACCCTTACCCTTCAAAACCGGAAGACAGTAATGCTGACATTACTGCTTGGAGGCAGAAATAGGTAAGGTGACAGTACTTCATTGGACGAACAAAAGTTCGTTCAAAAATTCAGCAGCAATAGAACTGTTTGTGAAAAATCACAAACAGCTCTATTGCTGCTGAATTTTTATTATGATTTAGGAATATTTACATGCTATAATTAATTTTCTTCCTGTGTCACAACTACAGTACCACAACCATATTACTCCTCTGCAGAGTGGAAGGCTGGTGACACAGAATACAGGTTTTTCTATACCTATCACGCGGGCACCAGTCTGTCACTAAACAGTTTGACCAATCTATGTTTTGATTTAACCTTAATGACCCCTACTGGCTTAGCCAGTTTTGTGAAGAGAAAATAAAGCAACATTTCATTTCAAGTTACTTTCTGTGTAGTTGCCACCTACTGCTTTTCCATAGAGAAGTATCAACAGCGTACTCACAACATTCAATGATTTACATACATTGAACATTTTATATTGAAACAATACATATAAGCACTACGTTGAGAAAAATACTGACATGTTAGTGTGCGGTACTATTTAAGTACAGTCCATGAAAGGGATATTACTCCCTGTACTACCTGAGTTTATGAAAAAGAGATATTCTCCAAAGCGGAGTTTGGCTATTACTTCTGGTCCACTACCATAACTTGTCCTATTGAAAAAGTGTTGTCACATCAACAAACGGTTGATTTGATATTTAAAATCATCATCAACACCGTTATCATTTCGACGACGATGACGATATTGTGCTGCTTGCATCCAGCAGAATTTATTTAAAATGTTATTGACTAATTTAAAGATATTAGTCACACATTGCCTCCTTAACGGTTTTTGCCGCCAAGGAGTAATGTGAGCATTACTGCGTTCCGGTTTTGAAGGGTAAGGGCGCTGGTGAAGTTACTGGCACATGGGACTTGTCAACTTACGTCTCATGGTGACGGGCGCAATGGCAGTGTCCCTCAGATCTTTGCGATTTAAAGCTCTAAGTGGCACTGCAACTGTTATGGACAGGCGTGTCGTTTACCATCAGGCGCATGGCTTGTTCATCCCGTCACTTAGTATCAAAAAAGAAGCCAATGGGTCCCATTAGTCTATATTCTTCTATGAAACCATTTATAGGGTCGTATTCCAGAACTCTACTCAATGCTCAAGTCAGGATTTGAGCAGACTTGAGTATGATTTCAAGAACTGGAAATACGACCCTAATGGCAAGGACTTGAGTATGATTTTCAGTGCTCACTGCAATACTCAAGTCCTGACTTGAGTATTGAGTAGAGTTCTAGAATACGACCCTACGACTGCTACCACAAGGCGGTGAATATTATCCCGTTCAGAGTAATGTTACTTTATTTCTTATGCGTGCGTAAAAATAAAAGATTCTAAGTAAAATTTCGTTGAGAATAACCGAATTTCGGACCTAAATCCTAAACTGCCTTGTTCAGAATGCTGCACGTGCGGGGAAGCCAAGTAAAACACAAGTAAACGAGGTAGGAATTTCGATTTAAGACGCGACGCGTTACAGAGAGAGGATTTAACAAATTGTCTCTAACATTGGTACAAATCGATTACACGGCGTTCACGGCGATAAAATCTGTAGTGCTTCGAATATACGAATTTCTTTCTTACCCTAAAATAATATTAATAGACATCCTGAAATATTTCATAGAATATTGTTTATATCGAGTCGATTTACGATCATTCTGAAAAGAAGTTGGTATTTATAGGTGATTGCATAAACATCGTCCATACTAAATATACGAATTTCTCATTTACTATTATTTCATAATGAAATCCAGAAAGATTGTAAAATATGTAGGACATACTAACAATAGGTAGGATAACCTGGCATTAAGTAAGGGAAATAGTATACTAAATATGCGTAAAATGGATGAAACAAAAAAGACGTACATTTTATACTTTTCATTT